GGTTTGATTTCTCGGTTTGATGTCGGTTTGATGTCGGTTTGATGTCGGTTTGATGTTGGTTTGTTGGTTTGATGTCGGATTGATGTCGGTTTGTTCTCGGTTTGATGTCGGTTTGATGTCGGTTTGATTTCTCGGTTTGATGTCGGTTTGATGTCGGTTTGTTGTCGGTTTGATGTCGGTTTGATGTCGGTTTGATGTCGGTTTGATGTTGGTTTGTTGGTTTGATGTCGGTTTGATGTCAGTTTGATGTCGGTTTGATTTCTCGGTTTGATGTCGGTTTGATGTCGGTTTGTTGTCGGTTTGATGTCGGTTTGATGTCGGTTTGATGTCGGTTTGATGTTGGTTTGTTGGTTTGATGTCGGTTTGATGTCGGTTTGATGTCGGTTTGATGTCGGTTTGATTTCTCGGTTTGATGTCGGTTTGATGACGGTTTGTTGTTGGTTTGTTGGTTTGATGTCGGTTTGATGTCGGTTTGATGTCGGTTTGATGTCGGTTTGTTGGTTTGATGTCGGTTTGATGTCGGTTTGATGTCGGTTTGTTGTTGGTTTGATGTCGGTTTGTTCTCGGTTTGATGACGGTTTGATGTCGGTTTGTTGGTTTGATGTCGGTTTGATGTCGGTTTGATGTCGGTTTGTTCTCGGTTTGATGTCGGTTTGATGTCGGTTTGATTTCTCGGTTTGATGTCGGTTTGATGTCGGTTTGTTGTCGGTTTGATGTCGGTTTGATGTCGGTTTGTTGTCGGTTTGATGTCGGTTTGATGTTGGTTTGTTGTCGGTTTGATGTCGGTTTGATGTCGGTTTGATGTTGGTTTGTTGTCGGTTTGATGTCGGTTTGATGTCGGTTTGATGTCGGTTTGATGTTGGTTTGTTGGTTTGATGTCGGTTTGTTCTCGGTTTGATGTCGGTTTGACGTCGGTTTGTTGTCGGTTTGTTGGTTTGATGTCGGTTTGATGTTGGTTTGTTGGTTTGATGTCGGTTTGTTCTCGGTTTGATGTTGGTTTGTCTGTTTGATGTCGGTTTGTTCTCGGTTTGATGTCGGTTTGATGTCGGTTTGATGTCGGTTTGATGTCGGTTTGATGTTGGTTTGTTGGTTTGATGTCGGTTTGTTCTCGGTTTGATGTCGGTTTGATGTCGGTTTGATTTCTCGGTTTGATGTCGGTTTGATGTCGGTTTGATGTCGGTTTGATGTCGGTTTGATGTCGGTTTGATGTCGGTTTGATGTTGGTTTGTTGGTTTAATGTCGGTTTGATGTCGGTTTGTTCTCGGTTTGATGTCGGTTTGATGTCGGTTTGATGTTGGTTTGTTGGTTTGATGTCGGTTTGTTCTCGGTTTGATGTCGGTTTGATGTCGGTTTGATGTCGGTTTGATGTTGGTTTGTTGGTTTGATGTCGGTTTGTTCTCGGTTTGATGTCGGTTTGATGTCGGTTTGATTTCTCGGTTTGATGTCGGTTTGATGTCGGTTTGATGTCGGTTTGTTCTCGGTTTGATGTCGGTTTGATGTCGGTTTGATTTCTCGGTTTGATGTCGGTTTGATGTTGGTTTGATGTCGGTTTGATGTTGGTTTGTTGGTTTGATGTCGGTTTGTTCTCGGTTTGATGTCGGTTTGATGTCGGTTTGATGTCGGTTTGTTGGTTTGATGTCGGATTGATGTCGGTTTGTTCTCGGTTTGATGTCGGTTTGATGTCGGTTTGATTTCTCGGTTTGATGTCGGTTTGATGTCGGTTTGTTGTCGGTTTGATGTCGGTTTGATGTCGGTTTGATGTCGGTTTGATGTTGGTTTGTTGGTTTGATGTCGGTTTGATGTCGGTTTGATGTCGGTTTGATTTCTCGGTTTGATGTCGGTTTGATGTCGGTTTGTTGTCGGTTTGATGTCGGTTTGATGTCGGTTTGATGTCGGTTTGATGTCGGTTTGTTGGTTTGATGTCGGTTTGATGTCGGTTTGATGTCGGTTTGTTGTTGGTTTGATGTCGGTTTGATGTCGGTTTGTTGGTTTGATGTCGGTTTGATGTCGGTTTGATGTCGGTTTGTTGTTGGTTTGATGTCGGTTTGTTCTCGGTTTGATGACGGTTTGATGTCGGTTTGTTGGTTTGATGTCGGTTTGATGTCGGTTTGATGTCGGTTTGATGTCGGTTTGTTCTCGGTTTGATGTCGGTTTGATGTCGGTTTGATTTCTCGGTTTGATGTCGGTTTGATGTCGGTTTGTTGTCGGTTTGATGTCGGTTTGATGTCGGTTTGTTGTCGGTTTGATGTCGGTTTGATGTTGGTTTGTTGTCGGTTTGATGTCGGTTTGATGTCGGTTTGATGTTGGTTTGTTGTCGGTTTGATGTTGGTTTGTTGTCGGTTTGATGTCGGTTTGATGTCGGTTTGATGTCGGTTTGATGTCGGTTTGATGTTGGTTTGTTGGTTTGATGTCGGTTTGTTCTCGGTGTGATGTCGGTTTGATGTCGGTTTGTTGTCGGTTTGTTGGTTTGATGTCGGTTTGATGTTGGTTTGTTGGTTTGATGTCGGTTTGTTCTCGGTTTGATGTTGGTTTGTTGGTTTGATGTCGGTTTGTTCTCGGTTTGATGTCGGTTTGATGTCGGTTTGATGTCGGTTTGATGTCGGTTTGATGTCGGTTTGATGTTGGTTTGTTGGTTTGATGTCGGTTTGTTCTCGGTTTGATGTCGGTTTGATGTCGGTTTGATTTCTCGGTTTGATGTCGGTTTGATGTCGGTTTGATGTCGGTTTGATGTCGGTTTGATGTTGGTTTGTTGGTTTGATGTCGGTTTGATGTCGGTTTGTTCTCGGTTTGATGTCGGTTTGATGTCGGTTTGATTTCTCGGTTTGATGTCGGTTTGATGTCGGTTTGTTGTCGGTTTGATGTCGGTTTGATGTCGGTTTGATGTCGGTTTGATGTCGGTTTGATGTTGGTTTGTTGGTTTGATGTCGGTTTGATGTCGGTTTGTTCTCGGTTTGATGTCGGTTTGATGTCGGTTTGATTTCTCGGTTTGATGTCGGTTTGATGTCGGTTTGTTCTCGGTTTGATGTCGGTTTGATGTCGGTTTGATGTCGGTTTGATTTCTCGGTTTGATGTTGGTTTGATGTCGGTTTGATGTCGGTTTGTTGTCGGTTTGATGTTGGTTTGATGTCGGTTTGATGTCGGTTTGTTGTCGGTTTGATGTCGGTTTGATGTCGGTTTGATGTCGGTTTGTTGTCGGTTTGATGTCGGTTTGATGTCGGTTTGATGTCGGTTTGTTCTCGGTTTGATGTCGGTTTGATGTCGGTTTGATTTCTCGGTTTGATGTTGGTTTGATGTCGGTTTGATGTCGGTTTGTTGTCGGTTTGATGTCGGTTTGATGTCGGTTTGTTGTCGGTTTGATGTCGGTTTGATGTCGGTTTGATGTCGGTTTGATGTCGGATTGATGTTGGTTTGAAGTCGGTTTGTTGGCCTCTTCTGTGTTTGAACATCTGGAATCAAGGCTGGACTCTAGCTGGAGTGTTGCTCAATAAATGTGGGATATCAGTTTGATCTGAGTCTTGGGAAAGTGGAACAGCTGTGCACACGCTTCACATTCACGCTACATTTACATCATTCGCTCCCAGCAGAGCGAGGAAATGAAAATGCTCTCAGTGAAGAGGTAGAACACTGTTTTCTCTGCTTTAGTTTGAGCTTGTGTGCTTGAGTTTGACTTAATCAGCACAGATGAACATGAGACTATCGAGTAACACACAGCCTCACAGGCTGCATAAATTACTTCTGATGTCATTCATATTAAAAATGTATATATATACTGTATATACAAATATATATGTCATCAATGTAAAATACAAATTCAACAATAAATCAATAATTGAATAACTGATATTCTGTGACTTGTGTAAAGGCGGGACAGCTGACGATAGAAATGTTAACTGTCTGATTGCCAACATTCTTCTAAATATCTCCTTTTGTGTTCAACAGAAGAAAGAATCTCATACAGGTTTGGACCAACATAAGGGTGAGTAAGTGATGAACAATCCCTTTAATAATGTATAATATTTGAGCTCAAACTAAGACAAACATGTTGAATCACATGCAGAGTAAATAGACATGCATCATCTGTACTAAAGCTCACTGACGTTACACTGCAAACATAAACTCTCAACCTCATCTAACAACATTATATGTTGTTAAATATGAACTAATGGAGTTTCATGGCACACGTCCTTCATCCTGCCAGGACGTTCATCTGCGCTCAGGGGTTTAGTGCTCAGTCACGGTAATCATAACATAAAACGTCATAAATGTAAAATAAATGTAACGCTCACATACAGCATTAAGATCCAAATAATCACCAATTCCTTTAGAAGGATGTAGGAACACTTGAGTCATTACTAGTGGGTTACGGTTACCTTTTATTATAAATTATGCATTATTCATCTTAATTATGAACCTGTATATAGTAGTCTTCAGTGAGGTATGAAAAATTGTAGTTAATGATTCATGCTAAATGTATAAATGAACAGCCAAGATGACTCTGCGGGCTGTAATACTGAGAGTTTCTCTGACTGGGTGGAACGTGTGTGTGTGTGTGTGTGTGTGTGTGTGTGTCCGAGGGTCAGTTTCTGCGGGCTGAGAGAAGGACCTACACATATCAGATTACATTACAAAATATATTTGTTGAAGCAAACAATAGAAGAGTGTCTGCAGTCAAACTAAACGGCTGAACATTATTACGGTTTATTCGGCCTGTCCAATAAACACATGGAGAGTGATACACACATCATAGTGTTAGATCATATATATATATATATATATTGAAGCTATTTGGACACTCATTTGCTGCCAGAGGAAACACTGAGACATGAATTTCTCAAAAGCTGCTTTGAATCAATTTTAATTGTGAAAACAAATTTACAAATAAACAAGACATGACAAATAACATGTAACCAAGTGGTATTTATTTATCATGAGTTCACCATGTTATATAAAACGTCTTCAGCAAAAGAGTGAATGCCAGGCAGTTTTTGTTCTTGTCTTGTCCAGGTGAAACTCATGAAAACTGAACATTAAACAAGATTATGTTCTTCTCCAGGAAACTATTAAAAACACAACGCAAGCGTCACGTCTTCCAGAAGTTTGGATTCTGCATCATTCGCCTCTGAAAGTTTTCATACCTGTAAGAGAAACAGAATATTGTCACTGAACACACACACACACCTGAGGCTGATCTGGACACACACACACACACCTGAGGCTGATCTGGACACACACACACACACCTGAGGCTGATCTGGACACACACACACACACACACACACCTGAGGCTGATCTGGACACACACACACACACACCTGAGGCTGATCTGGACACACACACACACACACACACACACACCTGAGGCTGATCTGGACACACACACACACACACCTGAGGCTGATCTGGACACACACACACACACCTGAGGCTGATCTGGACACACACACACACACCTGAGGCTGATCTGGACACACACACACACCTGAGGCTGATCTGGACACACACACACACCTGAGGCTGATCTGGACACACACACACACCTGAGGCTGATCTGGACACACACACACACCTGAGGCTGATCTGGACACACGCACACACACACACACCTGAGGCTGATCTGGACACACGCACACACACACACACACACACCTGAGGCTGATCTGAACACACACACACACCTGAGGCTGATCTGAACACACACACCTGAGGCTGATCTAAACACACACACCTGAGGCTGATCTGGACGGACACACACACCTGAGGCTGATCTGGACACACACACACACACACACACCTGAGGCTGATCTGAACACACACACACACACACACACACACACACACACACACACACACACACCTGAGGCTGATCTGAACACACACACACACACCTGAGGCTGATCTGGACACACACACACACACACACACCTGAGGCTGATCTGAACACACACACACACCTGAGGCTGATCTGGACGGACACACACACACACACACACACCTGAGGCTGATCTGGACACACACATACACACACACACACCTGAGGCTGATCTGAACACACACACACACCTGAGGCTGATCTGGACGGACACACACACACACACACACACACACACACACACACACACACACACACACACACACACACCTGAGGCTGATCTGGACACACACATACACACACACACACCTGAGGCTGATCTGAACACACACACACACCTGAGGCTGATCTGAACACACACATACACACACACACACACCTGAGGCTGATCTGAACACACACATACACACCTGAGGCTGATCTGAACACACACACACACCTGAGGCTGATCTGGACACACACACACACACCTGAGGCTGATCTGAACACACACACACACACCTGAGGCTGATCTGGACACACACACACACACCTGAGGCTGATCTGAACACACACACACACACCTGAGGCTGATCTGAACACACACACACACCTGAGGCTGATCTGGACACACACACACACACCTGAGGCTGATCTGAACACACACACACACACCTGAGGCTGATCTGGACACACACACACACACACACACACACACACCTGAGGCTGATCTGGACACACACACACACACCTGAGGCTGATCTGGACACACACACACACACACACACACCTGAGGCTGATCTGGACACACACACACACACACACACACACACACACACCTGAGGCTGATCTGAACACACACACACACACACCTGAGGCTGATCTGGACACACACACACACACACACACACCTGAGGCTGATCTGGACACACACACACACCTGAGGCTGATCTGAACACACACACACACACACACCTGAGGCTGATCTGAACACACACACCTGAGGCTGATCTGGACACACACACACACACACACACACACACCTGAGGCTGATCTGGACACACACACACACACACACCTGAGGCTGATCTGGACACACACACACACACACCTGAGGCTGATCTGAACACACACACACACACACACTCACCATCTGAGGATGGAGCTCGCAGGAACGAACATCTCTGAAGGGTTCGGCGTCATCTGGGACTGAGACAGCGCAAAAGAGGAGGTGAAGTTGTAGAAGCTCTCCAGCATCTTCTGTGTGAACTGAGGAAACAACCAGAAGCTCATCTCAGTGACGCTACACACACACTGCTACACACACACTGCTACACACACACTGCTACACACACACTGCTACACACACACTTTGATACACACACACACTGCTACACACACTCTGCTACACACACACTCTGATACACACACACTCTGCTACACACACCACTCTGATACACACACCACTCTGATACACACACACACTGCTACACACACACTGCTACACACACACTGCTACACACACACTGCTACACACACACTGCTACACACACACTGGTACACACACACTGCTACACACACACTGCTACACACACACTGCTACACACACACTGCTACACACACACTGCTACACACACACTGCTACACACACACTGCTACACACACTCTGCTACACACACTCTGCTACACACACCACTCCGATACACACACCACTCCGATACACACACCACTCCGATACACACACCACTCCGATACACACACCACTCCGATACACACACCACTCCGATACACACACCACTCCGATACACACACCACTCCGATACACACACCACTCCGATACACACACCACTCCGATACACACACCACTCCGATACACACACCACTCCGATACACACACCACTCCGATACACACACCACTCCGATACACACACCACTCCGATACACACACCACTCCGATACACACACCACTCCGATACACACACCACTCCGATACACACACCACTCCGCTACAGCGCCAGGGCCCACACCCTCCTCCAGCGGCCCGAGGTCAACCAAAAAGAACTGATACCAGCTCTCAGTGATATGTGTCGGGTCTCCGCTATGACAACAGTAACTTTCTTAAATGTTTACAGAACAAGCGGGAACCCAGTGTGCCTGTATCTTCCTCTATTGCTGTTCGATTACATGATAGAAAGTCTAAGGCCTTCAAAAGCCGTACAGCAAACCCATCTAATCTGGTGCCTATTACACGACAAACTAAGATTACTGTGGGGACAAAAAGTAAGACTGTTAAGTTAGCACTATTAAACATCCGCTCACTTAAAAATAAATCACTTCTAGTCAACGATTTAATAACCACATACAACCTGGATTTTATGTTTCTAAATGAAACCTGGCTAGAAGACAGCTTCAGTGCAACAGTCCTCAATGAAACATCTCCTCCTAACTTTACTTTTATGAGTGTCTGCAGAGCTGTAAGGAGAGGTGGAGGAGTAGCTGCTCTTTTTAAGGATGTCTATCAATGTAAGCAAATATCATTTGGTAATTACCCGTCTTTCGAATATCTGGGTATTGTGTTAAAAGGCGTTCCACGCATTTTACTTATTATTCTTTACAGGCCTCCAAAATACTCTTCAGCCTTTGCTGAGGACTTTACAGAACTGTTATCAACCATTTCCTCTGAGTTAGACTGTTTTGCGATTGCTGGAGATTTTAACATCCACATAGATAATACAGAAACCAATATGGCAAAAGAAATCAAAACTGTTTTAAAAACTTTTGATCTGATTCAGCATGTACACGGACCGACACACACTCGTGGACACACTCTAGATTTACTTATCAGTAAGGGTCTAAACATTTCATCGATTGTTATTAAGGATGTAGCACTGTCTGATCATTTCTGTATTTTCTTTGATATATTGATCTCTCCTGCCATCGAAGCTAGATCTGTGTCTGTCAAGAAGAGATGCTTACATGAGAACACTAGTGTGCTATTTATGAAGGCCATATCTTCAACACCAAGCATATCTGCTGACTCTGTTGATTTTCTCCTTGATTCTTTTAACTCAAAAGTTAAAAGTGTAATTGATGATATTGCTCCTGTGAAAGTCAGGAAGAGTGGTAGACAAAAAGCACCTTGGAGAAACTCAACAGCAGTGCAAAATATGAAAAGACAATGCAGAAAAACAGAGCGCATGTGGCGGAAGACCAAACTTGTAGTCCATTATAACATCTACAAAGACACCATCCATGCTTTCAATATGGAACTAGGCAAAGCTAGACAGACTTTCTTCTCGAATATTATAAACAGCAACTTAAACAACACACGCACTCTTTTTGCTACTGTAGAGAGACTGACAAACCCCCCAAGCCAGATTCCCAGTGAAATGCTCTCAGACAGAAAGTGCAGGGAGTTTGCTTCGTTCTTCTCTGAGAAAATCAATAATATCAGAAAGGTGATCAGCACAGCCTTGAGCTGCACTGGGGTCAGACAGATCAGACCACAACCGCAGAAAGCAGCTACTATGTCTGATTTTGATGAAATTGATGGCAAAATTTTAGAAGAAACCGTACAGCACCTTAAAACATCAACCTGCGCCCTTGACGCACTTCCCACATCTTTCTTCAAAAGTGTGTTAAACTGTTTAGAAGCAGATCTCCTAGAAATGGTAAATGCCTCACTTCTCTCTGGGAATTTTCCAAACTCCCTGAAAACTGCAGTTGTCGAGCCCCTCCTGAAAAAGAGCAATCTGGATAAGACCATCTTAAGCAACTATAGACCGATCTCAAATCTTCCTTTCATAGGCAAGATCATTGAAAAAGTTGTCTTCAATCAGCTGAACAAATTCTTAAGCTAAAAAGGATACTTTGACAATTTTCAATCTGGTTTCAGATCGCATCACAGCACAGAGACAGCGCTCATAAAGATAATAAACGATATTCGCTTAAATACTGATACAGGGAAATTATCAGTGCTGGTACTACTCTACCTCAGTGCTGCATTTGACACTGTCGATCACGACATACTTCTTGACAGGCTGGAAAACTGGGTGGGGCTTTCTGGGATAGTCCTAAAATGGTTCAGGTCATACTTAGAAGGGAGAGGTTATTATGTGAGTATAGGAGACCATAAGTCTGAGTGGACATCCATGACATGTGGAGTCCCTCAAGGCTCAATTCTTGCACCACTCCTGTTCAACCTGTATATGCTCCCAATGAGCCAAATAATGAGAAATAACCGAATCTCTTACCACAGCTATGCAGACGACACACAGCTCTACTTAGCCCTATCGCCTAACGATTACAGCCCCATCGACTCCCTGTGCCAATGCATTGAGGAAGTAAACAATTGGATGTGCCAAAACTTTCTTCAGTTAAACAAAGACAAAACTGAAGTCATTGCGTTTGGCAACAAAGATGAAGTTCTCAAGGTGAATGCATACCTTGACGCTAGGGGTCTAACAACTAAAAATCAAGTGAGGAATCTGGGTGTGTCTCTAGAGTCAGACCTTAGTTTCAGTAGTCATATCAAATCAATAACTAAATCAGCATACTATCATCTGAAAAATATTGCAAGAATTAGATGCTTTGTTTCCAGTCAAGACTTAGAGAAACTTGTGCATGCTTTCATCACTAGCAGGGTGGATTATTGTAATGGACTCCTCACTGGCCTTCCTAAAAAGACCATAAGACAGTTGCAGCTCATACAGAACGCTGCTGCCAGGATCCTGAGCAGAACCAGAAAATATGAACACATCACACCAGTCCTCAGGTCTTTACACTGGCTCCCAGTTACATTTAGGATTGATTTTAAAGTATTATTACTGGTATATAAATCATTTAATGGCCTAGGACCTAAATACATTGCAGATATGCTCACTGAATATAAACCCAACAGATCACTCAGATCATTAGGATCACATCAGCTAGAAATACCAAGGGTTCGCTCTAAGCATGGTGAGTCCGCTTTAGCTATTATGCTGGAACAGCTTCCAGAGGAGATCAGATGTGCTCCTACAGTAGTCACATTCAAATCCAGACTCAAGACACTTCTGTTTAGCTATGCATTTACTGAATGAGCACTGTGCCACTGTCCGTCCGACTGTTTGTACTGTATTTTATTTTATTTTTTATTCTAAACTGCTTTAATTATTCTTATTTCTTTTGATTATTTTAATCTCTTTATTCTTAACTGTTTTAATTATTCCTATTTCTTTTGATTTTTTTTATGTAAAGCACTTTGAATTGCCATTGTGTATGAAATGTGCTATATAAATAAACTTGCCTTGCCTTGCCTTACACAGATTTTGGGGGGGGTGTGTGCAAGACAACTAGAAGTGAATGTGCTCTCCATTAAATGAATCACACACAGTAAACAAAACCTTATAAAAAAACTTTGCAGTGAACTTTGCAATTTAGACGCGCAAACTGCGTGCCGGTGCGGTGAGACGTACATGTTCGGGCAGATTCGGCTTGAAGTCGGTCATACTCGGATGCGCGGCCGCGCGCGCTGTTACAATAAAAAGCCGTGCAAACAGTCAAGCGAAAATGGGGTCTTGCGCACGCACCCAACGCGTCATTGTTGCCGCGCGCACCTGTGCGCTCTGACCGGTACAGGGGCACAGACCTCTCCCGAATCATCTCCAGCAGTAGCAGCCTCCGACGCACCACTAACTCCGCCTCCGCTTCCCTCATAAGCTGATATTGGTATTTAAAAAATGTATGATAAAAAATGTTTGTAAAAAATATTTTAATAACACGGTTTTGGCGGTTATAGAGTTCTAATGACGGTGTTCAACTATAACCGTCGGTCTCACGGTTATAAAAATACCGTCACACCCCCAGGGTTCTGTAACACAAAGACATTTTGGAGCGCAGTGAAAAACAGTAACAAGTAATAACAAACTATTTATTATATATACACTACGTGTGTGCTCCTTCTCTTTGTGTTCAACTATAGTGTGAAACCGTCGATTTGATGCAGAAGTATAAATCACACTTTACAATCACTTTAGTAAAACAGAACAAGGGGAAGTGTTGCTCTCAGGAGGAGGCTGGAGCACACTGGCACACAGTGGACATCTGCATCTTTCCACCGCAGAGGCTCTTTCCACAACATGGAGGAGAAACTAGTTTAGAGTGTATTAGTATTTACTAGTATTAGTATCTACTGTAGATTTAGTCGACTAAAATCTTATTGTATTTCGTCGAATAAAACTAACACAATTCAGATGACTAAAATATAATGGGTTTAGTTCAATTGTAATGCATTAATTTAGAATTTATCTAAAATGTCCAAACCCATATACTCCCAGAGAAAACATCTATTAACCTGTTAATATGAATGATTGTAAAGTTTGAACATGCAATACAGATACAGATTTAACTACTGTGACTTAAAAAAATATCTTAAAATCAAATAAAACCACTTTTCCTAAAGTAGAATAGTCTTCTTTTCAATGAATGTTCAAGTAACGAGCAGTGAATGCTATTATTTTTTTCTTTTGTTGCTTGATGACACAGACCGCATTAGGTTTATTACCCACGGCCACTTTAAGACATCGGATCATGTCCAATGACTTGCGGATCCAATTACACTGATGCACATCCGACACACTCACAACTGTTTAAGACATAACCAACATAGTTTACGTGAATACTCTCCAAAATGGACATTACGATATAATGTTGTGTGTATTAGTCCATTCAGACACGAAAGAGAGCTCAGTTCAGTCCTCGCGCGCTGTGTGTGTGTGTGTGTGTGTGTGTGTGTGTGTGTGTGTGTGTGTGGCTGCGCGCTTCGGGTCGGGTGTGTGCGCAGAAAACCGAACCAAATAGAGCTCTTTTTTTTTGCGTCGTCACTCTTATTCAGATCTACGTGTCTGCTCTACTCATTCTCCCAGACATTTACATTTTTTAACGTTTGATGAGATGCAGCGCATGCCAACCCGTGTGCCGCTGTGTAGATCAGCACGTTACAGTACAAATATGCGCATCTACCACAAACGCAGGACATCAGTTCTTACTGGATCGTCACTATCTAACATTTTTGTCTAGTTTTTATTTGTTGACGAAAATGTCAATAGATTTTCGTCATAGTTTTTGTCATTCAAAACTAGTTTTTATTTAGTTATCGTCTCGTTTTCGATTATGGTAGGTAGTTACTCGCACATTGTGCTCGTAAATCTTTTTTCCGGTTCGCACGTATCGATTTTTAGGGGCATATGCGAGCAAAATGGTCGCACTGTAGAGCCCTGACCCCTAGTATTCACTCATACATAAAAGATCCATCAGCTTGACGACAAGATCCATAATTCCGCTTAATGCAGAATATACGTCATCATTATACGCCTTTGTTATTGTAAGAGGTTAGCGACCCCTGGTGGTGAAAAATTCCTGCATATTGTACCTTTCAGTGTTAGCCTGAAGCCTGAGCTCCTCTCTTACCTGTGTGAAGGAGTCGACGGTGGAAACGGCTGAATGTGAAACTGGTGTTTGTTGTGCGAGAAGATCCAGAGATTCAACGGAGACTCCGACCTGAGCGACTGATGGAGCCTGAGAAGCGGCCATCATCCCGAACGGATGCGCACCACCCTCGCCTGGAACGAACACACACACACACACACACACAGTTTAGATTATGACTCAGATTCTGAGTCTCCCAGCGCTATGTTCTTCTGTGATTAGCATGTGTATGTCAAGTGATTTAAAGTGGTTTTACACAAAAGGCTCACCAGCTTTCAGCCCGGAGATCTTGAATATGGCGCTGGGCTTGTCGTTGGTGATGAAGCCCAGGAGCTGCCAGACCGGGCCGAGTGCAGGGTCCGGGAAGGAGAAGTACACCGCGCCGCCCATGCCGGCCGGGAAGGGCACCGTGCCCAGCAGGAACACCACCACATGATGCACACGCTCGCAGTCCGGCAGATCGAACACGAACTTATCCGCGGAGACCTGCTGCGCGTCCGTCTGGACCTGAAACACACCAGAGCAAGACCAGATCAAGATCAGATCAAACCCAGACCAAGACCAGAGCAAAACCAGACCAAGACCAGAGCAAAACCAGATCAAGATCAGAGCAAAACCAGATCAAGATCAGAGGAAGACCAGATCAAGAACAGATCAAACTCAGACCAAGACCAGAGCAAAACCAGACCAAGACCAGAGCAAAACCAGATCAAGATCAGAGGAAGACCAGATCAAGAACAGATCAAACCCAGACCAAGACCAGAGCAAAACCAGATCAAGACCAGAGCAAAACCAGACCAAGACCAGAGCAAAATCAGATCAAGATCAGAGGAAGACCAGATCAAGAACAGATCAAACCCAGACCAAGACCAGATCAAGATCAGAGCAAAACCAGATCAAGATCAGAGGAAGACCAGATCAAACCCAGACCAAGACCAGATCAAGACCAGATCAAGATCAGAGCAAAACCAGATCAAGATCAGAGGAAGACCAGATCAAGAACAGATCAAACCCAGACCAAGACCAGAGCAAAACCAGATCAAGATCAGAGGAAGACCAGATCCAAACCGCGTAAAATCACTGAAAAACCACATCAGATCAGAGCAATTCAACATCCTCTAATGACATATTAAACCGTTGCATGTGTAATGAAAGGTTAATCTGACTTCAACCTGAAATCATATAAACGTCACCATCAGTAGAATTACACGCGATATGACTTCATGCGTTATTGTGTGATTATGACGATCTTCATGCGTTATTGTGTGTGATTATGATGATCTCCATGCGTTATTGTGTGTGATTATGATGATCTCCATGCGTTATTGTGTGCGATTATGATGATCTCCATGCGTTATTGTGTGCGATTATGATGATCTCCATGCGTTATTGTGTGTGATTATGATGATCTCCATGCGTTATTGTGTGTGATTATGATGATCTCCATGCGTTATTGTGTGTGATTATGATGATCTCCATGCGTTATTGTGTGTGATTATGATGATCTCCATGCGTTATTGTGTGCGATTATGATGATCTCCATGCGTTATTGTGTGTGATTATGATGATCTCCATGCGTTATTGTGTGTGATTATGATGATCTCCATGCGTTATTGTGTGTGATTATGACGATCTTCATGCGTTATTGTGTGTGATTATGATGATCTCCATGCGTTATTGTGTGTGATTATGATGATCTCCATGCGTTATTGTGTGTGATTATGATGATCTCCATGCGTTATTGTGTGCGATTATGATGATTATGATGATCTCCATGCGTTATTGTGTGTGATTATGACGATCTTCATGCGTTATTGTGTGTGATTATGATGATCTTCATGCGTTACTGTGTGTGATTATGATGATCTCCATGCGTTATTGTGTGTGATTATGATGATCTCCATGCGTTATTGTGTGCGATTATGATGATTATGATGATCTTCTCACCAGTCTGCCCGCGACTAAACATCCGAACATCGCCGGCTTTACTGCAGAAACACACCCGAGAACACAGACACGGAGAAGCTCTTTAATATCTCACATCACTTCACATGTTAGCTACTCAGTGCTAGAAACTTCCAAACGCAGCGGACAGGCTGTCACCTCTGACCCGGAAGCAAAACACTGAAGCGCTTCACTGATTGGACGATCCAGCGCTGCACGCGCGTCCTTAAAGTGCCCTGTTGTGGATTTCTGAACATTCCCTTTCACGCAGTGTGTAATGCGGCTGTATGGGAATGTACACAGTCTGCAAAGTTTTAAAGCTGAAAGTGCATCATAAATAAGTTAGTTTATTTCAAAAGAAGAGACGACTCTGAACCGCTCAAATCATCATCATCATCATCATCATCAAACGAGCCGTTTGTAATTCGAATCTATTATCGTGAAGTTCACGACTTTCTTCATTTGCATAATGCCCGCCCACATCTCGCGATAGCTCGTGTTTATATCATGTCCTCTAGATGCTGTTCTCTCCTGTGGGAGTTAGCCCATCTTTCCCACGATACCACAGCTGTGTAATCCCACGACACCACAGCTGTATAACCCCACGACACCACAGCTGTGTAACCCCACGACACCACAGCTGTGTAACCCCACGACACCACAGCTGTGTAATCCCACGACACCACAGCTGTATAACCCCACGACACCACAGCTGTATAATCCCACGACACCACAGCTGTATAACCCCACGACACCACAGCTGTATAACCCCACGACACCACAGCTGTATAATCCCACGACACCACAGCTGTATAACCCCACGACACCACAGCTGTATAACCCCACGACACCACAGCTGTGTAACCCCACGACACCACAGCTGTATAATCCCACGACACCACAGCTGTATAATCCCACGACACCACAGCTGTATAACCCCACGACACCACAGCTGTATAACCCCACGACACCACAGCTGTGTAACCCCACGACACCACAGCTGTGTAACCCCACGACACCACAGCTGTGTAATCCCACGACACCACAGCTGTATAACCCCACGACACCACAGCTGTATAATCCCACGACACCACAGCTGTATAACCCCACGACACCACAGCTGTATAACCCCACGACACCACAGCTGTATAACCCCACGACACCACAGCTGTATAACCCCACGACACCACAGCTGTATAACCCCACGACACCACAGCTGTATAACCCCACGACACCACAGCTGTATAACCCCACGACACCACAGCTGTATAATCCCACGACACCACAGCTGTATAACCCCACGACACCACAGCTGTGTAACCCCACGACACCACAGCTGTATAACCCCACGACACCACAGCTGTATAACCCCACGACACCACAGCTGTGTAATCCCACGACACCACAGCTGTATAACCCCACGACACCACAGCTGTGTAACCCCACGACACCACAGCTGTGTAATCCCACGACACCACAGCTGTATAACCCCACGACACCACAGCTGTGTAATCCCACGACACCACAGCTGTATAATCCCACGACACCACAGCTGTGTAATCCCACGACACCACAGCTGTGTAACCCCACGACACCACAGCTGTATAACCCCACAGCTGTATAATCCCACGACACCACAGCTGTGTAATCCCACGACACCACAGCTGTTTAACCCCACGACACCACAGCTGTGTAACCCCACGACACCACAGCTGTGTAACCCCACGACACCACAGCTGTATAATCCCACGACACCACAGCTGTGTAATCCCACGACACCACAGCTGTATAATCCCACGACACCACAGCTGTGTAACCCCACGACACCACAGCTGTGTAACCCCACGACACCACAGCTGTATAACCCCACGACACCACAGCTGTGTAACCCCACGACACCACAGCTGTGTAACCCCACGACACCACAGCTGTGTAACCCCACGACACCACAGCTGTATAACCCCACGACACCACAGCTGTGTAACCCCACGACACCACAGCTGTGTAACCCCACGACACCACAGCTGTGTAATCCCACGACACCACAGCTGTGTAATCCCACGACACCACAGCTGTGTAATCCCACGACACCACAGCTGTGTAATCCCACGACACCACAGCTGTGTAATCCCACGACACCACAGCTGTATAATCCCACGACACCACAGCTGTGTAACCCCACGACACCACAGCTGTGTAACCCCACGACACCACAGCTGTATAACCCCACGACACCACAGCTGTATAACCCCACGACACCACAGCTGTGTAATCCCACGACACCACAGCTGTGTAATCCCACGACACCACAGCTGTGTAATCCCACGACACCACAGCTGTATAATCCCACGACACCACAGCTGTGTAATCCCACGACACCACAGCTGTGTAATCCCACGACACCACAGCTGTATAATCCCACGACACCACAGCTGTGTAACCCCACGACACCACAGCTGTGTAATCCCACGACACCACAGCTGTATAACCCCACGACACCACAGCTGTATAACCCCACGACACCACAGCTGTATAACCCCACGACACCACAGCTGTGTAACCCCATGTCGTGGGATTATACAGCTGTGGTGTCGTGGGGTTATACAGCTGTATAATCCCACGACACCACAGCTGTATAATCCCACGACACCACAGCTGTGTAACCCCACGACACCACAGCTGTATAATCCCACGACACCACAGCTGTATAACCCCACGACACCACAGCTGTATAACCCCACGACACCACAGCTGTATAATCCCACGACACCACAGCTGTATAACCCCACGACACCACAGCTGTATAACCCCACGACACCACAGCTGTATAACCCCACGACACCACAGCTGTATAATCCCACGACACCACAGCTGTATAACCCCACGACACCACAGCTGTGTAACCCCACGACACCACAGCTGTATAATCCCACGACACCACAGCTGTATAACCCCACGACACCACAGCTGTGTAACCCCACGACACCACAGCTGTGTAACCCCGCGACACCACAGCTGTATAATCCCACGACACCACAGCTGTATAACCCCACGACACCACAGCTGTATAACCCCACGACACAACACCACAGCTGTATAATCCCACGACACCACAGCTGTATAACCCCACGACACCACACCACAGCTGTATAATCCCACGACACCACAGCTGTATAACCCCACGACACCACAGCTGTATAACCCCACGACACCACAGCTGTATAACCCCACGACACCACAGCTGTATAATCCCACGACACCACAGCTGTATAATCCCACGACACCACAGCTGTATAACCCCACGACACCACAGCTGTATAATCCCACGACACCACAGCTGTATAACCCCACGACACCACAGCTGTATAACCCCACGACACCACAGCTGTATAACCCCACGACACCACAGCTGTATAATCCCACGACACCACAGCTGTATAACCCCACGACACCACAGCTGTGTAACCCCACGAAACCACAGCTGTATAACCCCACGACACCACAGCTGTGTAACCCCACGACACCACAGCTGTGTAACCCCGCGACACCACAGCTGTATAATCCCACGACACCACAGCTGTATAACCCCACGACACCACAGCTGTATAACCCCACAACACCACAGCTGTGTAACCCCACGACACCACAGCTGTGTAATCCCACGACACCACAGCTGTATAACCCCACGACACCACAGCTGTATAATCCCACGACACCACAGCTGTATAACCCCACGACACCACAGCTGTATAACCCCACGACACCACAGCTGTATAACCCCACGACACCACAGCTGTATAACCCCACGACACCACAGCTGTATAATCCCACGACACCACAGCTGTATAACCCCACGACACCACAGCTGTATAACCCCACGACACCACAGCTGTGTAACCCCACGACACCACAGCTGTATAATCCCACGACACCACAGCTGTATAATCCCACGACACCACAGCTGTATAATCCCACGACACCACAGCTGTATAACCCCACGACACCACAGCTGTATAATCCCACGACACCACAGCTGTATAATCCCACGACACCACAGCTGTATAACCCCACGACACCACAGCTGTATAACCCCACGACACCACAGCTGTATAACCCCACGACACCACAGCTGTATAACCCCACGACACCACAGCTGTATAACCCCACGACACCACAGCTGTATAATCCCACGACACCACAGCTGTATAACCCCACGACACCACAGCTGTGTAACCCCACGAAACCACAGCTGTATAACCCCACGACACCACAGCTGTGTAACCCCACGACACCACAGCTGTATAACCCCACGACACCACAGCTGTATAACCCCACAACACCACAGCTGTGTAACCCCACGACACCACAGCTGTGTAATCCCACGACACCACAGCTGTATAACCCCACGACACCACAGCTGTATAATCCCACGACACCACAGCTGTATAACCCCACGACACCACAGCTGTATAACCCCACGACACCACAGCTGTATAACCCCACGACACCACAGCTGTATAACCCCACGACACCACAGCTGTATAACCCCACGACACCACAGCTGTATAACCCCACGACACCACAGCTGTGTAATCCCACGACACCACAGCTGTGTAATCCCACGACACCACAGCTGTATAACCCCACGACACCACAGCTGTATAATCCCACGACACCACAGCTGTATAACCCCACGACACCACAGCTGTATAACCCCACGACACCACAGCTGTATAACCCCACGACACCACAGCTGTATAACCCCACGACACCACAGCTGTATAATCCCACGACACCACAGCTGTATAACCCCACGACACCACAGCTGTATAACCCCACGACACCACAGCTGTGTAACCCCACGACACCACAGCTGTATAATCCCACAACACCACAGCTGTGTAATCCCACGACACCACAGCTGTATAATCCCACGACACCACAGCTGTATAATCCCACGACACCACAGCTGTATAACCCCACGACACCACAGCTGTATAATCCCACGACACCACAGCTGTGTAACCCCACGACACCACAGCTGTGTAATCCCACGACACCACAGCTGTATAATCCCACGACACCACAGCTGTATAATCCCACGACACCACAGCTGTATAACCCCACGACACCACAGCTGTATAACCCCACGACACCACAGCTGTATAATCC